TAACTTCGCGCTCTCGCGCCGCCCTCCCAAAGGGAGAATAGGAGGACGAGAAGGAGGGGGAGAAGGAACGAGGACCGCGAAGCGCGAAGCGCGAATAACTTCGCGCCCTCGAGAATGCTTCGCTTGGCACACGAGTCTCAACGGGAACTGGGCGGCGCACCAGGTCACGTTTGCCTGGCCACCCTCCGCAGGAGGGTGCGCGGCTGGTCGAAAAGGGGGCAGAATGGGGAGGGAACAGAGTCGAGTGATACACCCTGCGAAATGCTTTAGAAATCATGGGTTAAGAAATTCATAGTCTCAGAATTTGGAGAAAAAACCCAGAATGTCGATTCAAATCTTAGGATTTATATTGAAACATTAAGAATAATCGAGACTCTGGCCGAAAACTTGGGTTTTCTTAAACATCGCCTAGAGTGTAGAGTGCTCAGCCTGCAGAGAAGCGCCTGAGGATTTTCTGAAATGAACAGCCACTATACCAACAAGCGCTCTCACGCCTGCACGCGTGGCGTTGGCCAGAGATCCAGAATGTGATGGCCAAGCTCTGCTTACAGTCGACGCGCTACCAGAAGCGACGCATAGCCAGGAACGAAGGGGGATTTCTGGCCACGGCGGGCCTAGGCCGCAAACAGGTTCCACGGCATGAATCTGAGGAACGGCCCGAAAACACGAGCCCCTTTTGAGCCCAAAGCGACCCTTATCTCAGCGTCTTGACTGCACCTGGCGCAGACTGCCCAGACGCCCACACGACGCGGCCAGCCAGTGTCCGGCCAGCGCACATCAGCCCCAAAGGATTGCTCCACCAGGCCTGCTCGACGACCATAAACGCGAACAAATATCACAATCCGCTCCCCCCCCCATGGGGCATGCAAGCTTTGAACTGAGATTGCTGCATTGGCTTTAGCGCTGCTGCTGCGATGAAGGAGATTGGACATACAAGTAAAAGTATGCCCTCCCCTGTGAGTCTCTTACCTAGGCCCCAAAAGCTGCTTAAAAGCACAAGCACAACCTGGACGGAGGTCTCGTGATTACTGCCTCGCACGGGCCCTCAAAGCTATGCTGAACCCGCACTCCAACGGTCACGATCCCTTGTAAATTACGGTGGGCCCGCCCTCAAAGGACCGCGGTCCCCAGCCAATCATGAAGGGGCCCAAGGACCCACAAATAAACACACACAAATAAGAGGATCCCCCATAAACAAGATTTCTAGTTCGCGCGCGCGGGGGAGCCCCTGGGGGGCCCCGGACGAAAAGTACCCCGGCTGACCCCCAGCCGGGTCCCAGCCGGGTCCCGACCGGGTCCCGGGCGATCCCCAGGGGGGAGGCTATTTTTCGCCACCCCTCACGAGGATCGTGGCCTCCGAGGGGGGGGCTGCAATCGACTACCCCCCTCCCGCCCCAAGGGGCCCCCAAGAGCCCCCCAAGAGGCCCCAGGGGAGCCCAATACGCCGCCAAGGAGCCCCAAGACGCTCCCAAGAAGCCCCCAAGAAGCCCCCAAGACGCCCCCAATAGGCTCCGAATAGCGCTCCAGGGCCAACGGAATAAGCAAAGCGATTAAATAAATACACACGAATCCGCCGGCCCCCTTGTGGGGCCACCAGGCTGCGAGGCACGTGATTCGCAGTTTCCTGTACCAGTCGTAGGTTGTAGTTTCCAGTGTTACAGTTCTGCTTCTTGCTGGTTACTGTAACTAGTTGACTTCTTGCTGGTTACTGTAACTAGTTGATTGACCGCGCGAGGGGGGGGGAGGCCCAAACAGGATTTTTAGCCTCACCTGGGCGCGTTGTCTGAATTGCTGGGGGGGCTCGAAATCGACACCCCTCACGCAGATCCGCGGGGTCAGGGTCCAAAAACACAGGGATTTGCCACATTTCTGAAATTCGGTGCCACCCCTCACGCAGATCCGCGGGGTCAGGGTCCAAAAACACAGGGGATTTGCCACATTTCTGAAATTCGGTGCCACCCCTCACGCAGATCCGCGGGGTCAGGGTCCAAAAACACAGGGATTTGCCACATTTCTGAAATTCGGTGCCACCCCTCACGCAGATCCGCGGGGTCAGGGTCCAAAAACACATGGGATTTGCCACATTTCTGAAATTCGGTGCCACCCCTCACGCAGATCCGCGGGGTCAGGGTCCAAAAACACAGGGGATTTGCGACATTTCTGAAATTCGGTGTCACCCCTCACGCAGATCCGCGGGGTCAGGGTCCAAAAACACAGGGGATTTGCCACATTTCTGAAATTCGGTGCCACCCCTCACGCACATCCATCGCAAGGCGTGGTAACCCAAACTGCGAGTACTCCCTCGGCCCTTTAATCCCAAGGTGTGGTAACCAAGCTCGTAAACCATACACGTCTTACCAATCGCCCTGTGTGGTAACCCCTCTTGTGATCAGTTGGTTTTGCCGATTGCGAATCGGCCTCGCATGAAGTTCCGATACTGCTGCACGACAGCGCCAAAGCCTCATGACTTAGCTCTTCCATGGCCCATTCTCCGAGAGAGGGGGCCGGCGGCAGGGGGCGAAGCCCTTACGGATAACAGGATCCCCCATATTTTCATATGCTTTCTGGGTTTTTGTCTTCCCCCCCACTTCCGATACTTTCCCATATGTTCCTGGGAGTCGACGATTAATTGTGTCTGTGTGTTTTTTCCCCTCCTCAAGTTACTCTGGATCCGCAAACCCAAATCCACGATCCATTGTGAATGATTCTGGAGCCGCGGTCCCAAGCACGATATCTCTCCAAAATATGCTGAATCCGCGCACCCAGGGCCAGAATGCCGTCTAAACTATAAAGGCCACGATCCACAGTAGATTACTCTGGGTCCGCGCTCCCAGGGCGACGATCCCGTGTGACAAGTGTGTTGCGCCCGAGCTCTCAGGGACACGATCTCTCGTAGGTTGCGTGAGATCCGCGCCCCCAGGGCTGGGAACCACGAAAAATACGCTGCATCCGCGCTGCCAGCAGCAAGATCCCTGGCAAATCACAACTGCATTCGGCCTCCCAGGACTAAAATCGCGGACAAACTACAAGGACTCGCGCTGTTAGATTACAGAAGATCCACGCCCCCAGGGCCACTGTCCGCTGCAGATCACGCTGGGCCCGCGCCCCCAGGGCCGCGACCCCTCGTAGATCCCGGTGGACCCGCGCTCCGAGGGCCACTACGCCTTTGTGAATCACGAGGGGCTGCCCTCCCAGGTCGACCACGATTTGTAAAATGCACCGCTCCCCGCTTGCCAGGGGTGCCAAGGCGTGTGATACATCAGGCTGCCTCCCTCGCCGGTTCCCTCCCCCCCGCCCGCAGGGAGGGAGGGGTACGAACGAACTCGCCAACGCACTTCCAGGACCCTCGGAGCTGCGAAGTTCGCCCTCCGGCGCCTCCAAGATGTCCAGAAAACTCTCCAGAACGGTTCAAGAGAGGCTCCAACAGCACCCAAGATGGCCTCAAGACGGTCCAAGAGACCTCCAGGACGCCCCAAAAGGGTTCCAAGAGGACCCGCGAGAAGGCCTCAAGAGAGACAAAGAAACGATTTCCCGAGTCTCATGCTCGGGCAGGTGTGTTTGTTCTCGCCTGGTCGGTCTCCTAAATGCCGAATGGCAGCCAGAGAGCCCCCCAGACCAGGCCAAGACTGCCCTTAGGGACCCCACGGGGGCCAGAGAAGACCCAAGAGGGCCCCAAGACTGCCCAAGAAGCCCCCGAGACAGACCCAAGAAGCCCCCAAAAGGCCACCAGAAGACCTCCAGAGGCCCGAGTTCCCTCGTCGGGGGGGCGGCGGAATGGCGCAAGCCTCTTGCATCCGCCCGCCCACCAAGCTGGGGGGGCGCGCGGGAATTTCACTGTGAGGGCTCTTTTCGAGGAGCCGCCCACAGGCCTCCGCCATTCCGCCGCGCGTTGCGCCACACGCCCTCTTCGGGCCCCAAGACGGCTTCTAGACGCCGTTCAAGACGGCCTCGAACCTCATGTCGTTCCCACTGCGCTTTCGGAATGGAATTGGGCCCCACCTTGACTTCCAAACTCGGCTCTCTGGCTCCTCAGTCAAGAGCCCTCCAAGGGCCGAAAATTGCCCCAAAAAAACCCGCGTTGTGATTCTTGCCGCGACGCAAGCATGTCAAGGTCTGGGGGTCAAACATCGATCCCCTGACCTATTCTGGGGAGCGTCCTGACCAGACTTCCAAGGCGCATCCAGCCGTGGCAACGGACGTTCGATCCTCCCTGAGATCCGACGGCGCGAAAAAATGGAGACCTTACTGCGGCACCACTCGAGACGCATCGACCTGTGCGGGCCCCATGGCCCGAAGCCTGGCGAGCGCGCGCGGCCCCAGCGCTCGAGCCTCGAGGAGACCTCCGGGGCCCCGCCCTCCGCAGGCCCGCCCGGGCGGCGGCGCAGACCGGCCCCCGGGGGCCCGGAGGTGCGAGGCGGGGATGCATCCACGTCCGCCGCCTGGGAACCGACGTCCTGGCGCCCCGGCGCGCGGTGGAGATGGACATGTGTTGGCCCCCAGGGGGGCCCGAACATATCCATACCCACGTCCACCGCCCCCCAAACCTTCGGCGTCTCGATTTTTTCGAGACGCGGGCCCCCGACCTCTCGACCACCTCCCCGGGACCGGTTCTTCATCCCGAGCCGTTATTTGACGGCCCCGAGGCCCAGCACGGGCCCCGAGAGGCCGGCAGCGATGACAAACCTCTGCCTCGATGTTTTCCAGACGCTGTGGGAGAAAAAACACTGTGGGAAAAAACATACAAAAAAACACAGACTATGGTAACAATACATATATATAATAATACTAATAATATATATATATATATATAAAAATAAATAACAAAAAAAAAAAAAAAAAAAAAAAAAAAAAAAAAAAAAAAAAAAAAAAAAAAAAAAAAAAAAAAAAAAAAAAAAAAAAAAAAAAAAAAAACGCCTGGGCCTGCCAAGGTCCCTGAGAAGGGCTCCTCCGGGCGGTGGCCGTGCAGAAGTGCCCGCCCCGCAGGGGGTGCGCCCGCCGGCCTTGGCGGGCCTGCCGTGCGCGGAGGCGTGCGCCCAGGCCGCGCCGCCGGGGTGCCGACCGCCTGAGCCCCGCCCCCGCGCGCCGGGGGGGGTCCTCCTCCTCCTCCTCCTCCTCCTCCTCCTTCCTCCTCCTCCTCCTCCTCCTCCTCCTCCTCCTCCTCCTCCTCCTCCTCCTCCCTCCTCCTCCCTCCTCCTCCTCCTCCTCTGCTTCTTCGTAGCATTAAGCTTCTCAGTGTCATTAGTATTAGTATGATTATTGATATTAATCGGGGGGGGGCGGGACGCGAGGCGCGCGCGCGCCCTGCCGGGAAAAAAACAACACAAAAAAACACAAGCACAACACACACCTGCGGGGGCAAAAAAAACAACAAAACACACACACACACACACAGTGGGAAAAACACGCACACTAACAAACAAACAAATTATCCCGGCAAAGCAACCTAACAGCGATGTGTAGAAGCATATCTGAAAGTATGCCCCTTAAGATTCAGATGACAATCCAGTTGTCGAATTCTGCTGTTCTCGCAGTCGTAGTCGCATTCGCGATAACAGTCGCAGCGGCAACGGCAGTCGCAGTCACAGTCTCAGCCTCAGCCTGCCTCCTCCTCCTCCTCCTCCTCCTCCTCTTTCTCCTGCTCCTCCTCCTCCTCCTCCTCCTCCTCCTCCTCCTCCTCCTCCTCCTCCTCCTCCTCCTCCTCCTCCTCTTCCTCCTGCTCGTCCTCGTTCTCGTCCTCCTCGTCTTGCTCGTCCTCCTCCTCCTGGTGCTCTCTCCTCCTCCTCCTCCTCCTCCTCCTCCTCCTCCTCCTCCTCCTGGTGGTCCTCGTTCTCCTCCTCCTGGTGCTCTCCCCCCCCTCCTCCTCCTCTCCTCCTCCTCGTCCTCCTCCTCCTCCTCCTCCTCCTCCTCCTCCTCCTCCTCCTCCTCCTCCTCCTCCTGGTAGTCCTCCCCCTCCCCTCCTCCTCCTCCTCCTCCTCTTCCTGGTCGTCCTCGTTCTCGTCCTCCTCGTCTTGCTCGTCCTCCTCCTCGTGGTGTTCTCTCCTCCTCCTCCTCCTCCTCCTCCTCCTCCTCCTCCTCCTCCTCCTCCTCCTGGTGGTCCTCGTTCTCCTCCTCCTGGTACTCTCCCCCCCCCTCCTCCTCCTCCTCCTCGTCCTCGTCCTCCTCCTCCTCCTCCTCCTCTTCCTCCTCCTCCTCCTCCTCCTCCTCCTCCTCCTCCTCCTCCTCCTGGTACTCCTCCCCCTCCCCTCCTCCTCCTCCTCCTCTTCCTGGTCGTCCTCCTCCTCCTGGTCGTCCTCCTCCTCCTGCTCGTCCTCCTCCTCCTCCTGCTCGTCCTTCTTCTCCTGCTCCTCCTGCTCCTCGTCCTGCTCCTGCTCGTCCTCGTCCTCCTGGTCTTGCTCGTCCTCCTCCTCGTCGTGCTCTTGCCCCTGCTGAAAATGTGGCCCAGGAATGGGAGTTCTGGGAAGTCGAAGAGCACGAAGTTGCCTACAGTTGGCTACGGGCATTCAAAATGTGGCCCGGGAATGGAGTTCTGGGAACTCGAAGAGCACGAAGTGGCCTACAGTTGGCTCCGGGCATTCAAAATGTGGCCCGGGAATGGAGTTCTGGGAACTCGAAGAGCACGAAGTGGCCTACAGTTGGCTCCGGGCATTCAAAATGTGGCCCGGGAATGGAGTTCTGGGAACTCGAAGAGCACGAAGTGGCCTACTGTTGGCTCCGGGCATCCAAAATGTGGCCCGGGAATGGAGTTCTGGGAACTCGAAGAGCACGAAGTGTGTGACTGTTGCATCCGGCCCTCCAGAATGTGGCCCGGGAATGGAGTTCTGGGAACTCGAAGAGCACGAAGTGTGTGACTGTTGCATCCGGTTATTCTAAATGTGGCCCGGGAATGGCGTTCTGGGATCTCGAAGAGCACGAAGTGTGTGACTGTTGCATCCGGGTATTGAGAATGTGGCCTGGGAATGGAGTTCTGGGAAGTCGAAGAGCACGAAGTGTGTGACTGTTGGTGAAAAACGAGCCCGGCACCTGCCGCCCGGCAACTCCCAACACCTGCCCGGACCCCCCTGTGGAGTGATCTGCTGCTCTCTTTTGATCCCACTAGAAACCTATCAGTCTTCGCTGTTAGGTAACAAACAAAAAACAGACAGTGTGTTTTTGTGTGTGTGTTTTCCCCACAGACAGTGTGTTTTTTTCCCACGGATCTCGGCGCGGGGGTCGCCGAGGGGACAGGGCGGCCGCACGCCAGAGGGACCCCTGGGCAAGGGTGGCCCTCCCAGGCCTGATCGCGTCGTTTCAAAAAGTCAGGGCGGCAGGTTCTTCGCTATTTTTGGCCCCTGGGGGCCCTCGCCAGGCCCAGGGGCCTTCAGAAAACGACTCGGGATGAGAAACCGGCCCCGGGGAAAGGGTCTGGACTTCTGGGGACGCCGCACTGAAAAAATCCGGATTTCGCATGTATGGGTCGGGTGCGCGGCTTTAGGGTGGGGGGCGGCCGCGGGGAGGCCCAACCTGAGCGCGCAAGACGCCACCATCGCATCGCGTTCGGCGGTCGCGGGGCAGTAGGCCGGTACCCAAAGGTCACTCAGGCGAAGGGCCATCAGTGGATACCAGGGTGGGTGGTACCTGGTCTGACCTTGCTCACCAGTGGGTTACAGCTGCCCCAAGTGGCTCGGGGGGTAGATAACTCTGCTAAATGGGCGGAGCCCGCACAGCCCAGATCGCTAAACCCCCCTAAGCCGATTGAGGCATGTGTAACCCGCTCACTTCTAGGCCAGATACAACCCACCTTGGCATCCACTGATGAGCCCCCTATCCCCTGACCAACCCCCGCACCGATCCCAGCAGACCCCCTCGCACAGCGAAAACACACGACGGGGGGAGGGGTTCGTGTGTTCGGCCTCTGGGGGCCCCCGCCAGGCACCAGGGCCGTCAAAAAACGGCTCAGGACGGGAAACCGGTCTCGGGGAATGGCTCGAAATCTCTGGGGGTCGACGTTGCGACAAAATCATGACGTCGGGGGTTGCGGGCCGCGGCCTGCTCCCTTCCCCCCGCGCAAGCCCTGGGATCTTGGCGTCGCATTGGCTTCGCAGCGGGCGATTCTGGCCAGCTCTGGGCCCTGGGAACCTCCCGGATCGATCTGGCCCAAGAAAACGCTATTGAAAAATTACCCTGGCGACGTACCCAACCCCTGCGCAAAAGCGGGGCGCAAAAAGTTTAGGATACTTTATAAGAGGGCGATGACGGAGCGAGGGTTACATATGTCTGCAGACGGAATTCGGGAGACTCGCAGGACACTGGCTAAAAGGGCTTGATAAAGCTGATGAGTTACAATTCCTGAGCACTCCTAGCCACTTCGAAAACGGGGATCACAGCAGGCCTCGAAAGTGGCGACAGTTTCACAGATCGCAGCCCCGCAGGGATGGCGAGGTCTAATTTGGGTCCGCGCGTGGCGTCACTGTGCTGGGCCCCCCAGCAGGCCTCGAAAGTGGCGACAGTTTCACAGATCGCAGCCTCCAGGGGATGGCGAGGTCTAATTTGAATCTGCCCGTGGCGTCGCTGCGCTGGGCCCCCCAGCAGGCCTCGAAAGTGGCGACAGTTTCACAGATCGCAGCACCCAAGGGATGGCGAGGTCTCGTTTGAATATGCCCGTGGCGTAACTGTGCAGGGCCCCCCAGCAGGCCTCGAAAGTGGCGACAGTTTCACAGATCGCAGCCCCCCCAGGGATGGCGAGGTCTAATTTGAATCCGCCCGTGGCCCTCACTGTGCTGGGCCCCCCAGCAGGCCTCGAAAATGGCGACAGTTTCACAGATCGCAGCCCCCCAGGGATGGCGAGGTCTAATTTGAATCCGCCCGTGGCGTCACTGTGCTGGGCCCCCCAGCAGGCCTCGAAAGTGGCGACAGTTTCACAGATCGCAGCCCCCCAGGGATGGCGAGGTCTAATTTGGGTCCGCCCGTGGCGTCACTGTGCTGGGCCCCCCAGCAGGCCTCGAAAGTGGCGACAGTTTCACAGATCGCAGCCCCCCAGGGATGGCGAGGTCTAATTTGAATCCGCCCGTGGCGTCACTGTGCTGGGCCCCCCAGCAGGCCTCGAAAGTGGCGACAGTTTCACAGATCGCAGCCCCCCAGGGATGGCGAGGTCTAATTTGGGTCCGCCCGTGGCGTCACTGTGCTGGGCCCCCCAGCAGGCCTCGAAAGTGGCGACAGTTTCACAGATCGCAGCCCCCCAGGGATGGCGAGGTCTAATTTGAATCCGCGCGTGGCGTCACTGTGCTGGGCCCCCCAGCAGGCCTCGAAAGTGGCGACAGTTTCACAGATCGCAGCCCCCCCAGGGATGGCGAGGTCTAATTTGAATCCGCCGTGGCCCTCACTGTGCTGGGCCCCCCAGCAGGCCTCGAAAGTGGCGACAGTTTCAAGATCGCAGCCCCCCAGGGATGGCGAGGTCTAATTTGAATCTGCGCGTCGCCCTCACTGTGCTGAGCCCCCCAGCAGGCCTCGAAAATGGCGACAGTTTCACAGATCGCAGCCCCCCAGGGATGGCGAGGTCTAATTTGAATCTGCGCGTCGCCCTCACTGTGCTGGGCCCCCCAGCAGGCCTCGAAAATGGCGACAGTTTCACAGATCGCAGCCCCCCAGGGATGGCGAGGTCTAATTTGAATCCGCGTGTCGCCCTCACTGTGCTGAGCCCCCCAGCAGGCCTCGAAAGTGGCGACAGTTTCACAGATCGCAGCCCCCCAGGGATGGCGAGGTCTAATTTGGGTCCGCGCGTGGCCCTCACTGTGCTGGGCCCCCAGCAGGCCTCGAAAGTGGCGACAGTTTCACAGATCGCAGCCCCCCAGGGATGGCGAGGTCTAATTTGGGTCCGCCGTCGCCCTCACTGTGCAGGGCCCCCCAGCAGGCCTCGAAAGTGGCGACAGTTTCACAGATCGCAGCCCCCCAGGGATGGCGAGGTCTAATTTGAATCCGCGCGTGGCCCTCACTGTGCTGGGCCCCCCAGCAGGCCTCGAAAGTGGCGACAGTTTCACAGATCGCAGCCCCCCAGGGATGGCGAGGTCTAATTTGAATCCGCGGTGG